ATACTAGGAATGATGTAGATTTGCACTCTACTTTTGTGGAATTCTATCATGTCATAAGTCCAAGACATTGAAACTAATGATTCTTGACCTCAACATGCTGCTGTTTTGAACACTTGTTCTCTGTTGAATTGCATAACATGAAAGGAGAAAAATATATATTGCAGGTATCTGAAATCCTAAATTTTTCAAAACACAAAGTTTGCCTTTGTGTGCGTCTCCCTTCCAGGCAGAAATTTAAGTGGTAATTTTCACTCAACAGTTATCTCATGTCATTTAGATTTGTAAGTTTGTAATAAATATTTTTCAGGCTCTTCCTATCTGACTTGTTCATTAAGGCTTTGAAAGATAGTTTACAGACTCCTAAAAAAAAAAAAAATCAGTTTTTGCCTCTCTTGAGCATATTATACTAATTTCCACATTTGTCAATAATGCTTCATAAGACCAAAAAGAAGTTCTTGGAAAAACTTCTTCAAGAGTGGAAGTCAATGATGATCAACACCATGGCTTGTTTTATCCCCTTCAATTTTTTCTATCATAATCATCATTTCCACAGACTTCCTCTCTCTGTAAAAGGTCTTTATAAAAATTGTAATTAGAATCTGTGTTGTACTAGAGCACAGATGTGCTCAACTGAACTTATTAATTATTTTCATATTTGATAATAGGCCTCTGTATTTTGAAAGCACACAAACAATACAGAATTTGCAGTTACACAAATCAGGTGCCTCACTTACCAGCAGGCAAACTATCACAGGAATTCAGTTCCTTGAATAGCCAATTAGACATAATCTAAGTCTAGGATCTTGTAAGGATCTAACACGCACAGAGAACACAGAAGCCAGTCACCAATATTAATTTAATAGCTTCATGCTGTCATGTTGATGAAGCAAACTCACTAGCACAGAACAGAAAATCATGCAAAGGTACAGCAAGGCTCTATCTATTCTCAGAAAAGAATAAAGAGCAAACACACAAAAGAAATGGCACCTGATCCGAGAAGGCATTTCTTTCCTCTCTATTTCCAAGCATTGCAGTAATCCCCATTTATATATCAGAAAATAAGCAACATATGAATTAAAAAATATTAAATTAAAACTGATTGAGAACTACTCTGAAAGTTACCCGTTAAAAGGCTCCTCTTCCTCTGTGCCAACGCACCCATTACACTGAAAGTGCTTCAAAGCCAGTCATAGAGACTTTGTTACCTGCTGGTTACCCTATAGAAGAACACCTCCTTATACAGTTATAACAGTTGTGACCAGCGCATGAAGATAGATTTAAAGACCCAACATACTTGTATGTACAAAAACATACTGTATTTATGGGTGACGAGTATAATGAGAACATGAAATACGATATAGCGCTATCAGTTCCCTTGGAATATGCCAACTAGCACTCATTGAAATAGGAAGAAGAGGAAGGCTCAGTTACAACACAACTGCACTACCTCAGCTTTGGAAAAACAGGAAATGAACCATATTCATAAGTGAAGCTAATGCATCCAAATCTAAAAGACTTGGATTTCACTCTGTACTCCTTGCTGTTTTTTTTTTTAATCATTTATCTTGAACAAGAAAACTATGTTAATTGTTTTACTTTTAAAGTCATACTTACTGAAGTCTGCAGTCTCCTCTAGCTGTACAAAGAAATAATTACAGTCTATTATAGTTCTTGGTAGGTCATTTTCATCTTAATGTTCTTTAAAGCTGCTAAAGACAACAGCTATTTCCCTTAGCCAAGTTATTTATCTTCCCTGAAATGTCTGGCATGTTCTACAATATCAAAGAAGTAAGCGGATGAATCTATGGAACATCCCTCAAGAGTTTTGGAAGCCATTGTTATGGCGTATCTGCACAAGCCAAAAAGCGTTACCCACTCTTTTTCCTTGTAAATGAATATCAAATCATATCATTTAACCATGATGCTTCCATCAAGCATATCTTTGAGTAACAGCTTTATCACTACATCTCTTGGTATGGTGCCAAGCACTAAAGCTAAATGATTACATTTATACTATTTTGAATGTTCCTAATGCTCTGATCTACCTTCCAGTTACAGGAAGAAGATTTCGCCATTATGCCTCATTCTTCAGTGTTTCTTCTACGCTTGCACCAAAGTAAAGGTCCAGTGAATTGTTAGAAACAGGTGAGTATTGTTCATGATGAAATAGTATGTCCTGGAATTATTGGAGCAGTGCTACAATATTCTAGGAGTTTACAGGTCCCTAAGAACGTAGCTTGCATAACCGCTCACAAGAGGCAAAATATTTGTGCAAAAAATCAGAAGAAGCAGATCTAGAAAGGTTTGTATGACTTAATGGTTACCGAAGGGCATTCCGTTAGTGAAGTACAACCTACTCACTGTCTCTATACTGAGTGTTACATGGCAAACAACAGATAAGCTGTTTTCTGTAAAGCTATTGAATACAAACACAGATCTTGGTTGCAGAGTTCTTGTCACTGTTGATATATATTGCTGCCAGCATCTGAAGAACAGAACAAATGTTTTTGATGCTCGAGAGAGGGGAAGAGAAAGAATGTATATAAACTTGAGGAAATTTGAATTAAATACTTAGTTACACATGTACGTGAAGACTACAATGAGCAGATATTAGTCTGTTATCCCGCTCTCTTAGGTGTCCTGAAACACAATTAAACAGTTCAACAATATGAACACTGTCACAAGAGAGCAAAACACACTAACTCATGCACAAAGACTTAGGTAGGATTCATCCATCCTACAAAAAATAACATATATATGTATCTTGATGACCTTTTTCATCACATGCAAAGATACAATACCAAAATTTTATGTTAAAGTGCATTATGTTGCGCATTATTGTATAAAATAAATCTCTCAAATGTTCAGAAAGTCAAACCGCATGTCAAGAAGACAAAAATACTCTATGTTCATCTTAATAAACCCTCAGGGAGTAATATGCAAATAGTAAAATTGGAAGTAGGAACGTGCTCCATTCTTACAGCTAAGCTGCACTTGAACGATCCGCTAGAAAGAATTCTTGTCTACAAAGTTATTTCTTCATACTTATTAAAAACACTCGTCTTCTTTAGCCTTAAAACTGGATGTGTTTATTTGCCATTATTATATACCAGGGGATCAGGACATTTACTTAAGAATTAAGTGCTTTTCAAGGATAGTGACTGTACCAGCTATTTAAAATATGCATAATCAAACTGATATTAGATTGTTGGATTTCTTTGTACTCACAATTTACTAATTTTGATAGGAGGCTAGCTAGCTATACATTATTTCTTTCATTTTTTCTTTATAAACATCTATATATTTAAGCAAAAATATTTTTTAATCTCAAAGACACAAATTTTAGTTTTACACTGAGCTTTCCAGGATTCCAAATAACTTGCCTCCAAATATTTTGCCTGGTGCTTTAAGCTATCAGAAAGAAATAAAATTTGCAGTAAAATGTTACAACACATGTTTTGCTCTCATTTAAGCCCAAATACGTGTGGGATTATTTTAGCAAGAAATTCTAAAACAACTCTGATCAGGATATCATGCTAACCTTTTTCAGCCGAATAGATGCCAGAGACTTCTATAGCCAAAGACAACCAAATAGATGGACAGGCACTGCATTCTGGTAAGTATAGATTCCTTAGGTTGAAAGGAAGGCTGCTGCCTGGACAAGTTAGACCAAGACATACTGGAATAGTTTATATAACATTTATTTTATCAACCACTAAATGGGGATAATTTACCTACAGCATGAGAGTAGATTCAAGAAAAATAATTGCATATATTATGTATTTTATTTGTACAAAATTTTATATATACTATGACCTATTGTCCAGAAGCAGCTAGAAAACATACAAATAATTTTTGCCATCCTCCCCCATACCCACCCCAGTCCCAACCACTTAGTATATTTTTCCTATACATTATAAACTCTCTGAAATCAGAACTATATTTTCTAAATAATTATGTAGTACTTCCCATAACAAAATGCCATTAAGTTGTGAGTTTAAGTGCAAGCACAATACAGATACAGATCCACTATATGGATGTGGATGTAACAAAGAAAAAAAAAAAAAGAGAAAACACATTTCTTTAGCAACTTTCAGATTTGCTCCAGATGAAGGTCTGTTTACTTCACAGCTATAGTAATGTGAATACTGATTGCTTTCACAATTACTCCTCCAGAAAGAACAAGTACATATATTAGCAGAATCACAACCTCACTTAAACCACCAATCAACACTGTGCTATGTATTACAATAACATTAAAAAAAAAGTCCATTTCAAAATTAAAATACAGAATTGTACCTGACAGTACTGGTTAAGATTTCGCAGAAAACAGCTGTTGCATTTGTGCACTGAAACTTGTTCTTCTGATTACTGACCAAATTCCACACTACTTTCTGTAGTATTAAGTGTATCAGTCTTCCTAGTATTGTAGCATGCTTTATTTGAGCAGCTAAATATAGATTATGGTGCCCAATTTCTCTCTATTTGAGTTTGAAAATACAAACTATTGATGAATCTATTTTGTGTAGGGATTTATACTGAAATAGTAAAATTTGGAAAAAGTGATCCTGGAATTTGAGATTACCATAATAATGTAAATTTCACAAATTACTGATGCCAAAATTCCAGTATTTGACAGGAAAAAAAATCCTTTCAAGGTAGAGAAAGTGATTCTTTCCCTGATGCATCCAGCTGAGGTACTCCGGCTTGTACTTAACATCAGACCAGCCTAAAAGGTCACAGCGCTTGTGCCCAGCCTTTAACATCTCTTTACGTAAATGGATGGTAAAATTGAAAACATTTTTAACAAAAAGGAGACAAAATTGTTCTGATCCTGAGAAGGTTGCTGTAACACAAAGTGGTTTTGTTCTTTGGAAGTAAAATTCAAAGAATGGAATAAAGAAATTCAAGACAAAAATTGTATTTCTCTTATTAGAATGACAAAATAATTTGCAGTATTTTTTAAAGTAAGATTAACATTTCGTGTTATATACTCTTACCGTTCTCGATTAAATTTCAGAGAATGAAGGATAGCTGGTCGTTTCTGTCTCAGATTCCACAAATGAAGTGTGTCATCTGCGCATGCACTGACCAAAGCACCCTAGAGCAGACACAAAATATAGCGCAACAGATTATTCTTCTGCAGATTTTTATTTTTAAGTGATGCTCAATTTCAATGATCCATCTGAAGAAAGCTGTAAAATTTCTGAGAAATATTTGTTTCCCTGTGCAAAAACATTTTCTACTGTAAAAAAAAAAAAAAGACAATTTGAGCTGATCTGGTGAGCATTTTAAATCAGTACACGATCAGCCAAAGTTAAATTAAAACTCTGTATTTCTACAGTGGGAAGAGCAAGCATAGAGATTAATGAAAACGGGGAAGAGACAGCCTTTAGTTGAAAAGGTGAAGAAGGAAAAAGAGATTAGTAAGTAAACACACATGCACAAGCAACAGTGCCAAGCTCAGCTTAGGGTCACATCAAGAAAACAAGAAATTCAAAATTGGAACAAGGTAAAGCAGGTAAGAAAGTAAACACGGCTAGCATGGCAAGAACTACAAAGAATTAATAGATACAGACAAAAGAAAGGAGTCTCTGTTATATATCACTAATACTCTGGAGACTGGTGCTGCTTCTGGCCCCCAAGAAATGGACTCCTTCCAAGGTCCAGATCTCTATCTGCCTGGACAGCTGGCAGTAATCATACGCTTCATACTGTGTTTCTCCTCATCAAGGACTAGTGAGGCCAAGGCAAAACGGAATGCAGAAGAAGCCATCTTCTTCACGTGCATACACATATTAAACATATTACATATTAAATTTACACCTTAATCAGGTCTAGTGTCCCTATCTGACCTATCAATCCCTACATTTTTTGTAGGGAACCAATAGATATTGCCTCAGCAGCAGGTGATGCTCAATTCTGGGGGCAGAGCAGGCTGTAACTGAAAGATTAGGTCATACCAACCATGGCTGCCTAATGGAGTTAAAGCTCTCTCTTTGCATCTTGGATATTGTTCCTAATCCTAGCATCTGTTCTTTTCAATATCAACATATGCAAATGGAATTTATGAAGTGAGATCTCTCTAATACAGAGTAATCTATACTTTCTCATTTCCCAAGGAGTTTAGACCAATGTCAGCAAGTGAATTATCTCCTCCACAGAGATCAAATTAATCCCACATAGGGTTTAATTTAGGGCTTCTTTTAATCACCCAGCAAAAAGAATGAATTGATTCAAATCTTGTCTTCCATATTTCTTGTCTTCTCTGCCTTTCTCTGAAGGATTTGAGTGGACTGATATTTTGAAGTACTTTCCACGCAAGAGTATTGATTTTTTTTTTTTTTTGCCAGACTTAAAAAAAGATAACTCAAGCACTTGCTTGAGAAACTGCAATATCTCCATGGAGGACTTAAAACTGTCAGAAATGTTTCCTTATTTTACAGAAAAAAATAAGTAAAATTAAACTAAGAATAGTTTCTGAATTTGGCCAAGTTATGAGCTTCTGACAAAAATATATTTATATGTTCAGCAGAATCTTTTTGCCTGTTAGTATCTCCAGAGACTTTCTGAACAGAGCAAGCTACCATTTCTCACCATTCATATATATTGTTCAAATTTGGTGTTAACAAACCATTTACAAAGATTACACATACTGGCTTGATTGATAATTCCTGTAATTGCTTTTCCTTGACACAAGTAGCCTACTCTCAACGTGTGAACTTTGAGGCAGTCACTATCATCATCCTTCTGTAGAAAAATTGAACTTGTTTATTATTTTCTATTTGAAACAGAACTGTACAGCAGATTCAGTAATTTATGGAATTTTACATCTATCTATACAGAGTAGTGTATTGACTGCCTTTTGTTCAATATTTTATACTGGTGTATAAAATACATACATACTGATGTATGCAATACTTTTCCCCATATGAAACCTCTTAAATAGCCTTCTAAGAATCCATATAGTAAATGTCTTTTGGATGTTAGCCGGTTACCTGTTAGCTCAATTTGCCATATGGAAAAATCTGTCACTCAGGTACAACACACCAATTGCTTTATGCAACTACATTTATATGGAATAACCTGAATAGCATATGCTTACCTCGTTGATTAAGAACTGGAGCTGCAGGACTGCAGCACCGCTCTCATGCTGGCAGTAGCAATCAACACCAGGCCTGCCCAGGCTGTTGCAGTCAGAGTTAAGGCTTCTAATAGTTCTGTTATTAGCAGAAGAGAGGGGAGGGAGAAGAAAAAAATGAGACAGAAAGACAGACAGACAGACAGACAGACAGACAGACAGACAGAAAGAAAGGGGCCTATCAATTAACCTCTAATCAACCTTTAATTAACCTCAAATGTTCTTGATGCTGTAAACCATAAGAATTCACATTAGCTTTCCATTGATTTCCTTAAAGCATGAGCACTGTCAGCCTAGAACACATGCGATGATGAGCGACTTGTTCTTGCCTGATGTTTTTGCATGTAAAATAAAGAGCACAAATTAACATGGAGATACTTTAAATTCCTTTTTACACATTATTAGTCCACATTACACGACTGTGTCATTTTTTTACACTTATCAAGATAATAAAAATAAGTGATTTAGAACTAAGAAGAGTAACAGTTTGGTGGCAGTTTCTTAAAAAAAAACACCAAAAAACAAAAACCCCCAAAACTTCAAAAACTAAGTGTGTATTAGAGTGAGTCATATCGCACTAAAGCCTACACATAACTATTGCTGTCTTGTCAACACATCATGCAGAGGTGCCCAAGCCCAGCTGCGCACTACATGCTCTACAGCAACCGCTGAGTGAAATCATGGTCTCTGGTGCTGCTTCTGGCTGCCCACCCACTTCACTCAGAATTGACAGAGGCATTTCTGCAAAGCAATGCATCGTATTGTGCTAATACGTCACGGATGCAGCTTTCTGCCTAGTCCCTTTGGATCTTTCCTTCTGCATGCTTAATTGCAGCCTCTCTAACCAAGATGATGCAGCCTTCCCAGGCTGAGCCAGGGAGTCTAACCAGAAACTGCTCTTCCAGAAGTTCTCCAAAAGGCAAAACAAAAGAGGAGAGGAATATGAAATATATTGTTAACAACCATGTTGTATGAGGCAGGTGAAGAACCTACATATAATTTTTACAAGATGGGTCCCTATCTTCTTGTCATACATGCTCCTGTTAGCATACTTTAAATTCCTGAATAAAAGTGCCAACTGCCCACCCAAACTGACTGCAAATGTCAGAAAAGCATTATCTTTAATTCCCCCATACAAGTGAAGGAATTTGTAATAAATTCTTCCAAAATGGGCCACACAGAAGCAAATTTCATAGTCAGTGAATGACCCTAAATAGGGTTAAAACTTTTATGTATTAAGTAATTACTTTTCCAGTTATTAAACATGCAACTTAGTTGGCAATCACCCACCCTCAGAGACCTGAGTTCTATTCCTGGCTTTGCCAGCCTTCCTGCTAGATAACCTTGGGGAAAAAAAAATCCCTTTTCCTCTCTGTGCCTTTATTTCCCCTATTTATGAACTGGAGATAGTGTTTTTTAAAAAAATACAGTATCTCTTTTGATGATAATCTCAGTGCACTATTATCCACAGATGGAAAGCTTTACATAAAATTCAAACATCATCACTGTATTACAGGGTGGCAAGAATAAAGGAATAACGGGGTAAGTCTAAATGCCACTTAGTCCCAAACTGTAGTCTGAATGGAGTCCTAAGCGAAAAAAATATTAAAGTGTACATCATTTAGATTACCTTTTTAAAATGGACAATATGAATATATGGTAGCCCAGGATACATTTTAATGACTGTTCTCCCTCATTTTTATATTCCTCCCCATTCCCAGCCCCTAAAACAACAAACCCTCCACTCTAACTTGAGCTTTATATTCACTATAAATACAGGGTACTAGCTAATGATTGTTATTAATAAAAATTATCCTAATATTGACCTGATTAATCAGCTATCACCATTCATTATCAGGAGGCTAAATCAGTTTTCTGCGAAACATCCTAATGAACTAATGATTTTATTCAGCATATTCCAAACAAAGTACTCTTCAATATTTCACATCAACATATGCATTTGCCAAGAAGTACCTCACAAATTACTGGTGCTTAAATAACAGCATTTGTCACTAACCAATGGTGTTTTGCAGATATTCTGGGAGCTGCGTTGGGGTCCTTCCAGTAGAAGAAATTGAAGAAAAAGGAGGACCTAGCACATGTTTTTGTCCCTTTAGCCCATCTTCTGCAAACTTCGTGCTTTGTTGCCAAGCAGGGAGGAGTACAACCTTAATTCATCAAACCTTCTCATACCAGTATCCTCTACCAGGACATGGAGCAAACATAGTAGTAATGCAAGTTTTGGATTGTTTTTTTTTTCTTTTATTTTGTCTTTTTATTAAATAATGACTCTAGTAACCAGGAGAGTGGAATACATTTTGAAGATACTAAGTGGGAGAGATACCAGTGATACATCTATATGCCAGGCATCATGGATTTCAAACCTAAAAGTCAGTCACTGTCTCCACCCTGGAAGCTCCTTCAGATCTTCAGAGGCAACATGTCAGAATATATTAATTAACGCATAAAAAGGAAAAAAGATGAAAACAAAGTTGGGGATCAAGAGTAAAACTAACGGCATCAGAACTACATGCATCCAGAAGCATTAGTGTGGCAGTAGTAACATTCTAACATGAAAATGTTCTTTTAGAAAGCAAGCTGGGCCTGTTTAGCCTGGAGAAGAGATGATTGAGAGGGGACCTTATCAAAAGGTCAAAATCACCTTTTCAAAATTAAACCTCTGCAGTAGAAGAAAAAAAAAAAAAGAAAAAGAAAAAAAGCTATTTAAATAAATGACCCCAGCATTTTTCAAATACTTAACTAATCTGCCCCAAGACTAAAAGTAACCTGCATACAAAAATGAACACTAAAATAAGGCATTAATAAGCAGAAATCACTATCTAAAGAAGCTCACACTCATCATTTTTATTAAAAGCTACAGAGGTGGAAAAGGGCAATCTCTTTCATAGTCTCTCCTTTAAAACATTCAGGAATCGTGGGCTGCTGCAGATGCAGCAGTGCTGCTCACAGGAAGTGCATCATCTAATCTGCAGCGACTGGTGCATGTCTGAGTAGGAATGTGCAGCACACTCAAAGCAGGTGGTTGTGGGATGGTGTTACTCCGTTATATAAACCAACTGTAAAATTGATTTAGCATGTTACTTGAGTATAGGACAGATTTTTCTTCTTGCAAAAGAACTTCTCCACTGATTCGAGTGATATCTCGAATGTTAAAATGTACCAATGCATCTAACTAAATAATGAATAGAACCTTGCAGATGTTAATTAGCTTTATAGTAGGGATAGTCTACATTTACATTCTGATATAAATAAAAAAACCTCCATAATCCTAATTTTATAGTTCACAGGGTTTCCAGCTGAGGTACTCTCTTTCTGCAAGATAGTCTATTTTCATTTAAACATTACAGATAGCAAAACATCTATGATTTCTGAAGTATATTGCTCCAGTGTTATTCTTATTAGAAATGTTTGTTACATGTAAAATGTACATTTAACTTCGGTTTCTAGCTTTTGGATTTCATTATATCTTTTTATCATAGAATCATAGAATCATAGAATCATAGAATGCTTAGGGTTGGAAGGGACCTCTAGAGATCATCTAGTCCAACCCCCCTGCATACGCAGGGTCACCTAAAGCACGTGGCGCAGGACTGCATCCAAGCGGGTTTTGAAGATCTCCAGAGAAGGAGACTCCACAACCTCTCTGGGCAGCCTGTTCCAGTGCTCTGTCACCCTCACTGTTAAGAAATTTTTCCTTAATTTTGACATAGATTTTTTCACTGAAGTGTACAAATAATAGTAGAATCACTCTCAAGGAACAGTTAGATGCCCGTTACGACACAAAAAGGCTGAAATTTTTGCCACCGTCAGTCTTTATTTCTTTCAGGATGATAAGCTACTTATGAACAGCTTGTCTTCAACCGCAAGTTTATTTATACTTATCAGCAAAACGTTAACTTATGGCTGGATAACTGGGTGAATGCTGTGAAAAATATAACTGACTAGTTATTCACATAAAATGAAATTCACATCAAATTTACTATTTTTTTGACTGCTCTGAACATTTCAGGAGTTATTTTGTTTCTCAAAACATCTGCAGAAGCCAAAAGTGTTACCAATGCTCATAGGGCTATACATTTTCTTCTCCTTGCAAGATTAGCTCAAAAGCTCTTTGTCATTTTGAGAATCATTTTGTCAAAAACTGAATACAGTCATCATGTAACTGAACTAGATCAGTCCTAAACTGCAAACAGAAAATTGTGAAAAGTGGACCCTCAGAGGCAATGACCCTCAGAGGCCCTACATTTTGAAAAAGAAAAAAACTTGCAGGCTGGTAAGTTGATATACTTTGTGTGGGTATATATATATATATATGTATTTGCACATATGTATATTTAGTTAAGAGAAGTTAATTTAATGTAGAGGTGAAAAGGTCGTCACAATAAGTTATTTGTTGCAAAGGTTTCAGCCAAGGCTTGCCAATGAATAGAGCATTTCATTAGAAATGTATCAATATAAATCCCTTCTAAGAGGTTCATATTTATGCTAAAGTATTTATTGAAAAAAAAAAATCCTCTAGCCATCTATCAGAAATTCAAGGCATCCAGGAAGTCAATCCTTGGTAGACATGTATAGGTTGACATATTTCCTTTTTATATCAAATACAGAGACCATCTAGCTCAAAATTCTCCCCCCAAAAGTTGCTATTTAGCTACCGGCCTGTAAAAGCTACATGTTCTCTGTCAGAAATGCTGAAATTCCCCTATTTTGAGGCCATGCTTCTATCACAGTAGTAACAAATGACATTATGAATTTGCATTTATGAAGGACAACTTCCCCTTTCCGGTAGTCACAAAGCAAGCTCACTAGCACAAAAGAACAAAACTGGAGAGGCAGCGAGTGAAAACTGAATCTGCAGAAGTTAATGAAGAGCACATTTATTACACGCACAACTGATGTTATTTCAGAGAAACCTGCAGACACAAGTTCAGTCAAAGGCACAAGGAATACAGCAATAGACCTAACAGCTGTTCTGTAAAAGATTTTTAATATATACATCTGATAAAATACTACCGAATGAAGAAA